TGGGATTGAGAGGCCAGGAACCTTCTGGCTTAGTGGTCCAAGGCTTGGAGGATGGGATGGTGTTCCCAGGGTCCCCTGAGGTGGCTGTCGCTTTCTGCTCCTAGTCCAGTGCTGTTTCCCCAGCCTCCACCCACCTGCACCACCCCCACACCCAGTCCGATGTGCCGCTTCCTCGGCCTGCCACAGCTGCAGTGTTGGAGGCCATAGGAGCATGCAGGTTGGGCTGCCCTTGTGTCCCTGCAGAGTGCTGCTACCTGTGTATTCTGGGAGGTCTCTGGGTAGTGATGGGGCTGCTGGTGCTCACATGTGTCCTCAGGATGCTGTGGGCGAGTACAGGAGCTGGGCTTTCCCTGTCATTACCAGGAGCCCATTCCACTAGCAGGGCCACCCATGCCACTGTGGGCTCAGTGTGCACCTGTCCACAGAGGCCTGAGCTTGCGCTAGCAGGAGCCTCTGTCTGCTCTCCCTCATCCCCTCTCTGGCCTTCAGCATGTGGCCTTTCTCATGAGAATGTCTCTGTTCCCTTATCTCAGCCCCGCTCTCTCCCACGCACCCTTCCTGCAGCAGCAGCTCCTTCCCCTGCCCCCTCCTGGGCCCAGGCCTGTGTTCCTCTCTGTAGTTGAGCTTGGAAGGTGTCCCCTTGTTCCCAGCAGTCTCCTGTGCATACCCTTTTGACACAGTCACCAATAAAACTGTTTTCTGCAGTGCTGGGCAGAGCTGCTGGGGTGTACGAGTGTGGGTAAGAGGGGTTCAGAAAGCCAGAGGAAGACTCATTGGTGTTGAATGGCTGGGGCAGAACTGTGGGCTTCAAAGGCGTTTCTGCCTGGACTTACGGTGCTGTTGTATAGGAAGGGGGGTCTTCTATAGAGTGGGCCGGTAGCTCTGGGAGGGAGCCCACCCAGGCTAGGGCTGGCTATAAGCCGCCTGGCTGGGTCCTGTGTTGGTTAACTCACCCCTTGTTTCCTAGGGCAAACAGGAAGAGAATGATGTGGTGGAGAAGTTGAACCTTTTCCTGGATTTGCTCCAGTCCTATAAAGTGAGTCTCAGCCACTCCTTGGTCAGGGATAGCATTTTTCAAAATGATCTTAGGATCTTTCAAGGGTGTGACTCCAAGGGAATGGAAAGAGTCAAGAGCCAGCGCTGTGCAGGGAACGTGGTGGACTTTCCAGAGCTCACTGGAGTTTCCTGGGCTGGCTGGGGCTCCTTGGTCCAAGCACCAGTGGGCTTTCCCTGAGCTGAAGGTGGGAGGAGAAGCCCTGGGAGTGTGTGTGCTTGTGCTCTTTTACGTGTCTGGGGGCCTGGCCCACAAAGGGGAATTCACCCAGGAGTGGGTGGAGATTCTAGGAACTTGGCTTTGGCACAGAGGAGGGAAGCTTTCTAAGTGTGGGAGCGTCTGTGATGGGACAGATTGTGATGGAGCACCATGTGGAGCCAGAGAAATCCTTCCTACTGAGGAGGCCAAGGAGAGTGGGCCCATTGCTTATGGGGAATGTTCTAGAAGGGATTCCTCTGTTGAATGGGGTGGTATCTGGTGGCCTCTAAAATCCCGGCACTGATTCTGTCACTTTAATTTCCTGTAAGGTTTCTGATGGGGGTTATTTAGGGTGCTGCTTATTAATGATGTGTGTCTTCCTTGTAGAGCTTCCTGATCCTCCTACTGTTAGGACACTGGCTCTTTGGAATTGGGTAGTGTTAGCAGTCTGAGGTCCAGAACTGTCCCAGGGCTCTGGACTGTACATCCCCACGTTTAAACTGAGATTCAGCATGTGGGCTTTGGGTTGGGGACCTGGTGGTGGTTTGTGTAGTGGGCCCCTGTGCAAACCTAGTATGCATCAGACTGAATCTTAACAGGGCCTGGCCCCTTGCTCTACTCCTTGACTGTTCCCTGGGTGAGGACAAACAGGAAAACAGGTTCTCTGGAAGGGCCCCGGTAGCTTTCATTGTTAGCCGTTTGCTGCCAGTTTGTATGCCCCAGTCTCCCTGTGTTCTGGGACTCTTTCACTGTCCCCTCTTGCTTTTTCCTGGTTGTAGGAGGGAGGACTTAAAATTGGCCCTGTGAAAAGTGCTCTAGAATGTCCCTGGGTTCCGAGTTCCTCAAGGTCAGCTGCTGAGGGCCAGTACACAGGTGCCCCTTCTTCCTTGCAGGATCTGTGCGAGCGGCACGAGAAGGGCGTGCTGCACAAGCACCAGCGGACGCTGCACAAGGACGGCCTGATGAAGAGGCAGGCGGTGAGCAACCGTGAGCCCGAGTCGGTGGAGCAGCTGGAGTCCCGCATCCTGGAGGTAGCTGAGCAGGCTGGCAGGTGGCGGGGCCAGGAGGCAGCCTTGAGGAGCACAAGGTGGCAGCCTTCTACTGTTAGGACACTTTGGTCCCTCTGGCCCCTGGAGCCATCCTCATTTTTGGTTGGCTGGATGAGCTTGTGGAATGTCAGTGCCCTGAGCTGGGGTGCTGGGGACGCACCCAGGATGATGTGCTTCTTTGTACTTGGTGCTCCATGTCCTGGCCCTTCATTCTTTGGAGTCTTGCTTCAGTGGTTGCATGGAAGGGGTGGAGACCCTGGGCCCTGGGCAGACACAGTATGTGGGCAGGGGTGCTCCTCTTCCTGGTACCTTCTGGCCAGGTGCGCAGAGAGACTCTTTTCCTTGCAGCAAGAGAACATGATTCAGACCATGGAGCTTCGGAACTACTTCTCCCTGTACTGCCTGCACCAGGAGACGCAGCTCATCCATGCCTACCTGCCCCTCACCTCCCACATCCTTGGGGCCTTCGTTAACTCTCAGATCCAAGGGCACAAGGAGGTGAGGCCCTCCCTGCCCGACCCCCTACCCCACCCCTGTCCTGGCCAATGCCTTTCTGTTTTCAGCTGCAGCTCCTGCAGCTAGTGACCTTGGGGAATTATTTCGGACAGTCAGTGGAGTTGGGGTATATGTGGAAACATAGTGCTTGTTCAGATTTATTAGTGTCACATGTGGCCAGAGTAATTACAAATTTGTTCTCATGGTTCTTAGTGGGGAGAGCAGAGAGAGACCAGAAAGGAACAATTTCTTTCCTTCTGGAAGAACTTGAGAAGTCAGGAAAACATATCAAGTCCCAAAGCCCTGCTGTTTGGAGATGGTGTGGGGGATGGTAGGAATCAAGTTTGAGGGGTTAAAAATACCATTACTGGGCTGGACGCAGTGGCACACGCCTGTAATCCCAGTGACTTGGGAGGCTGAGGCAGGATGATCACAAGTTTGAGGTGAGCCTCCACAACTTAGTGAGACTCTGTCTTAGATGGAAATTAAAAAAAAAAAAAGGCTTGGGGTTCCCCTTTGTTTTTGGTTGTTTTTGGTTTCATTTTTTGTTCTTCCAAAAAAAAAAAAAAAACAAAACCCCTAAAAAACCCATTAACTGGACATTTTTCTGGAAATCCCTGGTCAGCTTCCTTCAGATGTTGGCTCCTTAAGTCTTGGAGAAATAAGGCTGTGAATCATCCTGAGATATTTCATACTGCAGGGACACTCACCTGGCAAGAGTGATCTGGAGCCGTGTGACTCCAATGTGTATCTTGGGCTCTTTGCTCCCTTTTCAGCCAGTGACATGTGTCTGTCCTTCTCCAGACAGCCTTGTGGGTCTGCTGAGGCAGTAATTAAAACATGACGCTGTCTAGTTCCTCTTTCCCGTCCCAGTGTAGTCTCTGTGCCCTCTGCTTTCTGATATCAGTGGCCTAGCTTCCTTCCTTTTCAAGTAACTTTTGCTTCCTGCCAGCACTGGTCCAGGATGGCTTCCTGAGAGGGGTGCGTCTCCCTGTGGCCACCTCTAGCCCCTGGCAGTAGAGGAGGAGTCCTGGCTCAAAATTTGTAAACCTTGGGCTGTGGCTGAGGCTCAGTGGTAGCGCACTTGCCCAGCATGTGTGAGGCACTGAGTTTGATTCTCAGCACCACATATAAATAAATAAATAAAAGTTCCATCAACAACTGAAAAAAACAACCAGCAACTTTGTAAACCTTGATCTCAGGTTCCTTCTGCACAACTGTTGCAACCTCTTCTGACCTCTGGTTCAGTTGCTCTGTCTGAAAAAAGGTATGAAGTCTGGCCCTGCCAAGCTTCCTGTGGTTGGCCTGGGCATTGATGGGTGACAGGCTAATGCAGCAATTGCTGCTTGGCTGCTCCTGGCTGGGCTCTGTGATATTGGGCACAACTTGATCACAGTGTCTTCATCACCAAGGAGTATACAGGAAGGTAGACCAGTTAGTGAGGAACAGGTCTCACCCTGGCAGAGGCTTGCCCAGAGCCAGGGAGAGGAGATAGGCGTCAGTGCTTCTGCATGGAGGGGCAGGAAGCAGCATGTCACAGGAACTCAGACCTGCAGTTCTGAAAGGTCTCTGCAGCTGGTGGGGGGTATAGAACATGGAGATTATCAGACAAGTTGGGAATACTTGTAACTGACCAAGTCAGTGGCCAGTTTAGACCCTGAGACCAGTCTTGCCAGACTGCCTAGGTGTTTGGTTGTACACGGTGCAGAAGAGGGGTGCAGAGCCTGCTCCAGAATTGTAGAGTCCTGGTGTTTCTGTTGCCCAGTGGTTTCACAGCACCCCTAGGGTAAAGAAAACTTTTATAGTCTGTAGATTGACTGGCTCAGACAGCATCACAGTAGACTGTGTATTCTGACTAGTGGTATGTATCCTGGGAACAGCTAAAATGCTCCCGAGGTTTGGTGAGGAGCCTCCTAGCTGTGGGCTGGTGAAGAAGCAGCACACGCATTAGGAAGCTGACTGCATTACTTAATTACTGTCTTAGGTCAAGGTGACATATTGGGTCAGCAGGTCTGGGCTTGGACATCTGAGTGGCTGGTGGGGACATCAGTGAGGAAGCATGTGACCACTGGGGGACCACATCCCATCTGGGGATGTGGCCACATGACCTCAAATGCAGAAGTTTTTTTTTTTCCCCTGAGAGAGAGAGATTTTTTAAAAAATATTTATATTTTAGTTTTCAGTGGATACAACATCCTTTATTTTATTTTTATGTGGTGCTGAGGATCAAACCCAGCGCCCTGCACATGCCAGGGGAGCGCGCTACCGCTTGAGCCACATCCCCAGCCCAGGAGATTTTCTTCATTGGTGTTGCCTCACTGGTCCTCATCTTGCTGTGCTGATGAGATGTCAGGTCCAGTGACAGGATCTCATTAGCATGTTCCCAGGGCCACATACAGATCTTCTGTCATCACACGAGCCCCCACACCAAAAACATGGGTCTCTGCCCCAACCAGCCAAGCTTTCTGCCTTGTGCCAAATCTGGACATAAGAGTGCCTCTTGGCGGCTGGCCTGCTGTGCCACAGTGCTGGGTACATCGTAACAGCCACGCTTCTTAATACCATGTTGAGCAGACTCGAAGCCTGTTGGACCTGTGTGCAGGGGACAGGTGGGTTAGCCTGGGACCTCTGTGGAGGAGGGGCTACCATAGGGTGTGGGAAGGGTCCAATGTGAACCCTCACTTCCAGAAGCTCTCTGATGGTGACCTTGGGGAGATGGTGTGCCCAAAGGACACCAGGTGGAGGGAGAATTGGAGCTGGTGTTTTGGGGTGCCATCCTATTTTCTTTTCTGCAGATGGGCAAGGTGTGGGATGATCTGAAGCCGAAGCTCAGTTGCCTCTTCGCTGGACCACACAATGCGCTGACGCCACCACGGTCCCCGCAGGACGGCGTGTGTCCTCACTAGTGCCTGAGGCTGTGGCACAGTTCCCTGCGGCCTCACTAAACCGTCTTTCCAAATGGTGTGTCCCTGGCCAATTCCCTTCAGGTGGCCACTGCTGCCCGTGGTGCCCTGGTGGGTGAAAAGGAACATCCATCTGAGCCCATGGGTGTGGCTGGTGGTTTTTCTCTTCCCTGGGTGGGAAGTCTATGCCCCCCGACTCCTGCCCATCCTGCCCTGTGGCTGCTAGCCCGGTGCTGAGAATTCGGGTTCCTCACGACACCCAGGGCCAGGGTTGCTGAGGCTCATTTCCACACAGCAGATAATTCCTGGAGGAGTATGGAGGAGGCTCTAGGTGCTAAAACAGTCCAGAGGGCTGGCCTGGGGCAGGGCTCAGCTGAGCAGGGCAGAAGGGAGGACAGGACTGCCCCATGACCAGGAAACCTTTGGGTGAGCAAATAGCCAGTCTGTCAGAGGTCAGAACGTTGACCAGGGTCTGCAGACATTCCAGCCTGGATGCCTGCTGGTGTAGGTTGCTGGATGTAGTGTTTGATGTTCCAGGGGACAGCTGAGGCCTGGTCTGGGGTCAGGTGTCCCTAAGCTGCCCCTTCCACATGGGTACACTATGATCCCAAGTATAAGACAAAGGCACATTGAGAGCTTTGGAGATGAATGTGGAGGTTTCTGTCTGAGGGCTAGAAATTGGCCTGTCCTTTTCCTTGTTTGGGGGCAGCCAGTATTGGACTCCATGTTGTGGGGCTCTGAGGCTTTAGGGGTGGGCAGGGACAGGTGTAGGGGAATGTGTTGCCTTCAGCTGGGGTGTTGGGGGGAGCATCCATGTGAGTGTGCTTAATCTCTTTTAAAACCATTTCCTTCTTTTGGGCAACTGCAACCCCTCCAGCCCTGTTCTTCCAGGAGACTGGCCGGCTGAGGCCACTTCTCTCTTCAGGCTGAAGAAAGCCACTCTCAGAGCTCTGGGGTCAGACCTGGATTGCTGCTGCTCACATCCCTTCTGTGGTGAACACGGAGCCACCTTTGAGCTCCCTGTCTTAGTAACCCAGGGAGAGATGCGGAAGAGGGTCTGGTGGTCTATAGAACTTTTGAAATTCCTTCCAGGGATGCCTTTTAGATACCGAGGGGCAGGACTTGACCTCCTTGGACGTCCATGCAGCTTGCAGGCCTGGAACAGGGAGCCCCAGCACACTGCATACCCTGAGGGTGGGAAATTATTCTACCTGTGCCAGAGGACATAGTGCTGTGATTGGTGGCAGTGGGGATTTGACTTTGTCCCTGCTGTGTCGTCTGTCCCTGCTTCCCTGTAACCTCCCTCTATGGAAACAAGTCTTGGTTGCTGTGTGGACCTGTGTCACTTGCAGGACTTATTCCCCGGCACCAAGACACTTGAGCTGTAACACCTGGCCCTGTTTGTGCTGAGCAGGCCACAAGGCCTCTTCTGTTCTGCCCCAATTTGGGAGCCTGGCCTGTCTGGTTGTGGGACCAAAGTCTGTGGGGAATTGTGGGCATGGGGCTGGGGGCCCGAGTCTCTAGATTGGGCAAGACTGCACTCCTCAAGTAGCCATTGGGACTTTTGGCCCCAAGCCTTCAGGATGGACTGTTCTGAAAAGAGCTTCACTGCCAGGGACCCTGGGATGAGTGAGTCCTGGTCACATTCCTGGTGCCTCCTGCTATGGAAGGAGGTCTCAGGGTCCTTATATTGTGTTATGGAAATGTGGGCCTAGGGGAGGGCAGCCTGTCTGCTCTGCTTCAGTGCCTATGGCTCAGGAGCCAGGGTGTGGGGCTCTTCCTGCATGGCTGACAGTTCAGTTTGGATGGAGTTCCCTTCCTTCATCTCTCCCACCCAAGGGGAAGATCAGTGAGGTGGGGGATATTTGCTAGACAACAGAGGCCACTGTTTCTCACACTGTCACTTCATGGTCCTGGGCAGAAGTGCTCCCACCTGGGGCAGGATTGGCTACTCCCAGCTCTGGGGTGGAGTCCCTGTGGTGGCAAGGGACCAAGGATCCCTCCACCCTTCCCTAACTGTCCTGCTGCCTCAACCTGTGTGCCACGCCGTGGCCATGCCTGGTCTGGTGGAAGGATGGCTGGGTGTAATCCTGGGCAAGGGAGGCTGAGTGGGATCTTGGCTGCCACCTTCAGTTTGGACAGCCTGCGTGGTCAGCGGGAAGGCGACTGCAGAGCAGGAGCAAGTAGAACGTTCTGTCAGGTCCACTCTGCTCCATCCTGGGCACTCAGTGACAAGGGGCTAGGCTGCTCAGGCCATGCAGGAAGGGAGGACGGGTTATAGGTCGCCACAGGGACACCTGGGACTCTGAGCCCATGAATTCAGGATTGTTCTTAGTGTCCAGGTCTTTTTCTTGTGCTTTGTGTGAGCCGGTCCTATGTATGAAGCACTTTATTAGCTGCAGGAATCAGTTACTACTACACCCAATAAACTGGAACTGTTTACAGGTGACCTGTGTTTTGTGGTTTTATCAACCTGAATAGTTGCTCAGTGTGTCTGAAAGTCCTAGTGCTTTGTGCAGTGGTGATCCAACTCTCCTTCCTGGTGGTCCTAAAGGAGAAAGCAAATGGCCTACCCTCCCAGAGCAGTGACTGCCTCAGTGTCCCCCACTGTAGAACGGGTGGTAAGAGAACAATATGTTCTCGCCTGCCCGTGGCCTGCACGCTGGGTAGAAGCCCTCCTTTGTCCCTGTCTCCTCTGCCTAGCATGGTGGAAGTGGCCCAAGCTGCGGCCAGGGGAAGACTGTTCAAAGGTGAAGCCCTTTATTTTCCTTACCAAACAGAAAAAATAAGCCCAACTCTTGGTGCCACGAATGTGGCTGAACTGGCAGCTGCAGCTTGGTGCTAGATTTCTTCTACCTCGTGTAGTGAGTAGTCCAGGATGGTGTCCTGATCCTGGAACTTGAAGTACCCCTGGAATTTCTTCTTTTGAAGCAGGAGTGGGAACCAGTACCTGTCGTCAGGCCACATGTCACCAAAGGGGATCTGGTCCAGTTGGAACCACTGAGGGCGCATTTCTGTACCGAGGGGCAGAGAGGAAGAGCACCAGTGTCAAGGAGGGCTGGCCTGGCCAGTGAGGAGCTACCTGCACTACTTATTTTTGTGGTGCTAGGAACTGAACCCAGGGGTACTCTACCACTGACCATGTCCCTGGCCCTTCTTTTTTTTAATATTTATTTTTTAGTTGTAGTTGGACACAATATCCTCATTTCACTTATTTATTTTTATGTGGTGCTGAGTATCGAACCCAGGGTCTTAGGCGTGCAAGGCGAGTGCTCTACCGCTAAGTCACAATCTCAGCCCCTTACTTTTTATTTTGAGGCAGTCTCTCACTATGTTGCCCAGCTGTCCTTGAACTTGCAATTGTCCTGCCTCAGTCTCCCAAATTGCTGATTAAGTCATGCTCCACCGCCCCCAGCTTGCACAGCAGTGCTGTGTGAGGAATTTAATTTACTTTTATACTTAATCCTCATGACTGTTCTTCCTCTTTTATGGATCAGGAAAAAGGGATTCAGAGCTGCAGCCTGCTGAGCTGTGGTGCCTGAGTAGCCAGGGTTCTAAGGCACAGACTGTTCAGTGCCTCCCTGTGAGATGGGGAAGGTGGGTGGGCCTGAGGCCCACATCTGGCTGTGCTTTCTCCTAGCCAACTGTGTGGAACTGGATGTGCTCCCTCCCCTTCTGTGGTGGGGAGCAGATACCCCAAGGCTCACCATCGCTCTCCTGGGGCGTCCCCTGCACACTGTCAGTACAGAAGATGTGCACATCCATCAGCTCGGGGGTGCCCACGAACTCAAACTCAATGTGGCCCACCTTGTGCAGTGTGTTCACTGTCAGACCACTCTCCTCTTGCAGCTCCCTGTAGGCAGAGGAGACAGGAGGAGGATGGAGCGTCACAGCACGATGACCACAGGCCAAAGGGGAGCCCAGAGGTGGGATGCATGGGCTGCAGACCCCAGGAGGCTGCCATCAGGTGTTAATAGTCCAAACCTGGCCCAGCCTTGGAATTAACTTGAACTTGAAAAAATTTGGGATTTGTGGCACCTGTCCCACATTCTCAGGAAGTTGACTCAAGAGGATCACCTGTGCCTGGGAGTTAACAGACCAGTCTGGGCAACATGATGATATCCCATCTCAAAAAACCAACAATGAAAATCCCCTGGAATTTGGTTCAGAGGCTCTGGGGAGGGTCTGGCCAGCACTCTGCAGAGGACCACCCAGGGTATGAGTCTCATGAGTGGATTGCAGGGCAGAAGTTTGTCCTCCCCTAAGCCCACACTTCCCCTTTCCTCAGACTCAGTCCATTCCCTCTTCTGCGTTGGAACTTTGGACCCCCCTGCATGGTCGTGAGGACATAGGAGCCCCTTGGCTCTGGGACCTTCTCCTAAGAATGTGCTTCCAGCCTCACACCCTTACTGAGACCACAGGACCATAAGCCAATAGTCTCTCCTGAAGGAGGGGTTGTCACTTTCAGTTCTGCCGTAAAGCCAACTCCTCTGGGCAGATCCTACAGGACAAATCTCTTGGCTTGCGTTCTGGGGCCTTTGTATTGCCTTCTCAGTATATTTTCCCAGCAGCTCAGCCAGCTGTGCCTGGAGGTGTGAGGAGCTCATCTAACATGGAACAGGTCTCTCTGTTCCACTGGACAGAACCTGAATGCTTCCCCTGAGGCTCTGGTGCTGCTGCTAATTTAAAAGTATTTTAAAACCACCTGTCTACTCTACACAGTCCTGGAAATGGAAGACTCATGAACCTAACACCCAGCTGTATATCCTGGAACCCAGCAGAATTAAAGTCTACCTTGCATTTTCCACCCAGCAAGCAAGGAGCATGTAATAGTCTGCCCTAGAGGAGCCTGTCTAGTTTTTCAACTGCTAACGAAGAGTAAACATTTGAGTTCAACTTTGGGTCATTATGGAAAATGCTGTGCTGAGCACCTAGGTCTGCACACCTTGTACCATCAACATGTACCCAAGTGCACACAGTGCTCATGCCCTCCAGCAGGCGGGCTCCCTAAGACCTGCTTTGTGCTTGGGACCCTTAGGACATACAAAGCTGTGAGTTCCACTGGCCCCTCCTGTCGTGGAGGCCTTTCTTCCCACGGCCCCGGAGTTACTTTTGTTTCTGTAACAGTAGTCTGACCATTTATAGCTGGAAGAAAGTCTTAGCTTTGATCTCCAAGTTGTGTTGGGAACACACTGCCACCTGTAGTAGGCAGTCAGGGACCCACTCTGTTCATTTGCAAACACATACACATCAGGTTAAGTGGTCCTCTGCTTCTCCTGAAAAGACACTGCCTTTTGCTGCCAATTCATACACACAATCCAGAAATTGACACATTCATTGAGATGGTTAATTAAAACTGGACTGGATCTTTAAAAAATGAGTGTTTTCACTTGGGGTGTGTGCGCAGCGGCTCCCCAATGAAATGTAATGGAGCCGCAACAGGGCCTCACCCACCTCTCTGGCAGCAGACTGCCAGTTCTCCCTTTAAAAAGCATCACCGGCTGATGTAATGTTTTGACTGATTTTGGTTAATCCTCCCCCAGTCTGTGGCAGTGCATGCAGTATCAGTAATCCTGGTGACAGAGCTGGAGCTCCATTTCACAAGCTGAGATAATTAGACAGATGAAGACGACCCTGTTAGTTTTGCTAAAGAGTCTGCTTGTGTCTGTGATGCAGATGGCATCCTGGAGAACAGGATGAGCAATGAATTAGATGCAAACACGGAGCAGAAAGTGTGCTCTGTGGTGCAGGAGGTGGGGGTGGAAGGCCCCAGGACTTGGCATTAGTGGTTCCCTGGCTGCTGAGGTGGTGTCATTGGGTGCTGACTAGAAAAACATGGCTCATGGGCTGGGATTGTGGATCAGTGGTAGAGCACTCGCCTAGCACGGGCGGGACCTGGGTTCGTTCCTCAGCACCACATAAAAATAAAGGCACTGTGTTGTGTCCATCTATACCTAAAAAATAAATATTAAAAAAAAGAAAAACATGGCTTATGTCATACACTACAGGTCAGACCTGAGGCCCAAGGCACTCAAAGTCCCCAGTGCCTGCATGGCCCCCAGGCAGAGGAGGAGGCCCTGGGTGATACTAGATGTGATACTTATGGCTCCCTATCAGGACTGCCACTGTGAGAATGGATAAGTACTCGTGCCTGCCCCCTATGGGTGAAGAGGGGAACATGTTCCTGGCTCTGGGACAATCCTGAGGGAATAGGACAGGCAGTGTGTGCAGGAAGCACACAGAATTTTTGGGAGAGGCAGCCACCAGGCACAGAAGTCTTTCAAGGAGCCAGCTCCATTCAAATGCCCAAGTCTCAACCTGCATGGCTCCAGAGCATCCTGACTCTCACATGCATTTGAATGTCAGAGGGGCTGTGCACTTTGCTCTCCTGCATGCCCCTCTCACCCCACAGGCAGGGATGGGGCATGAGGGTCTGTCAGATGGTGTCCCTTCCTTTGACTGCATTGTGCATACTGCCTTCTGGGCTGGTGCCCAGAGCTAACCAGGGGCTCTAAGGAACCACATGGTCCACAGGGCTGATGGGTCTAAACAGGGCAGTGTGTGCCCCTTGATGCTGAGCCTCTGACCTTAGTTCAAGGGTGAGGCTAGTCCCCACCTTAGTGGAGGTCCCTGAAGCATGGAAACCACTCCTATTCTGTGGCTGCAGGGAGGGTGTTCTCTGCAGGAGCCGCTGCCTCCAGAGGCACTGCATACTGCTGTGGATGCCAAGTTAGGGAAAAGCGCTGGGGCAGCTGGGCTCAGGCAAGTTTGGGCAGAGCAGCTCTGGTGCAGCTCCTGGGGCAGGCCCAGAGTGCAAATTATTACGATCCTCTCAGGATTCTAAGACAACCTCCTCCACAGTGACACTGGAGCGTGACCCATCTTAGAGGGTAAGTTGGTCTGAACAATGACACTCACTTATAGTGGGATCAGGATGCCAAGGAACATGGCCATAGGCTTGCAGGCTGGGTCCCCCATTGCTGGGTCCCCCACTAGAGGGCCAGCCAGCATCCAGTCAGCTTTGCTAAGTGTGTACATCTGCCCACCTTCCTGCTGCTTAGGGGAGGCCTGCCCTATGCCAGGACTCCATGTGGTGGAAAGGAAGCTGATGTGGTTTCACATTGCAGTATTTTTCACCTGTGACAAAGGTAACAGCAGTGCAAGGGACATGGTCTTTCCAGGAAGTAAGGTGCTGTCTAGAGAGCTTTGTGGGAAAACCTGTTTTTTTTTAAGCTACAGATGGACACAACATTTATTTATTTATTTAATGTGGTGCTAAGGATCAAACCTAGTGCCTCACACGTGCTGGGCAAGCACTCTACCACTGAGATACAACCCCAGCCCCAAACTCAGTCTTAAACCCCTACCTAATTTGTAAAAACTGAATTCTGCATGGATTGTAGACTTAAGTTTCTAAAATTTTTAGGAGAAAACTTAGATCTGACTGTCTTCCTAGGCTTGGGATAGGCAGATTCCCTCAAAGGATATAAACAATTCTAACCATAAAGAAAATATATGGGGCCTGGTTGTAGCTCAGTGGTAAAGTGCTTGCCTCACATGTGTGAAGCACTGGGTTTGATCCTCAGCATCATGTAAAAATAAAAATAGATACTGTTGTTCACCTACAACTAAATAAGTATTAAAAAAATCTAGAGACTAGTATCAACATTATTAAAAAAAGAATATATGTGAATTGCATTAAAGTGATGAACCTCTGTTTATTAAAATATCATTAAGAATCAAGGGCTGGGGCTATGGCTCAGTGATAGAATGCTTGTCTTGCATAGTTGAGGCATTGGGTTGGATCCTCAGCACCACATAAAAATAAATAAAATGGAGGTATTGTGTCCATCTACAACTAAAAATATTTTAAAAAATAATTAAGGAGCAAGCTACAGAGTAGAGGATATTGGCAACACACCAAGCTGACAACTGACACCCAAAGTATAGAATGAAGTTGGGTGTAGTGGCCACACCTGTCACCCCAGCTACTTGGGAGGCTGAAGCAGGGGAATTACAAGTTTGAGGCCAGCAAGGGAACTTAGTGAGACCCTGTTTCAAAATAAAAAAGGGCTGGGGATGTAGTTCAGTGGTAGAGCACACTGGGTTTAATAAACTACCAAAAAAATAGTGTATAATGAACTGAAAATCAAGAAAAAAGCAACCCAATTAAAGAAGAGCAGAAGGCCTGAGTAGACCCTGGAGGATGTCAGTGGTGGCAGATGCTCAAAAGGTGCTTAACTTCATCTCACCAGTTAAGGGCAAACTAAACCCACAACGGGAGGTCACCACGTTTGCCAGCATGGCTAAAAGAAATATCAAGTGTTGCCGAGGACTCAGGAATCCGAACTCAACCCACCACGTGGGAATTTAATTAGTGCAAATTCTTTGGAAAACTGGCATTGCTATAGCTCCACAGCTAGTTTTCCTCCTGACTAGGTAAGGAGCGAGTCCAGCGGGCACTGGAGGACAAAGGAAGGGGGCTGTTCATGGCAGCACTCCCTGTATAATGGCAGACGCAGTATCTTCAGGTGCTGGAATACCATACAGTAGTGAGAAGGAAGAAACACTGCTACATGTACATGTAATTTTTTTTTCTTTTTTTTTGTGGTGTTGGGGATTGAACCCAGGGCCTTGTGTATGTGAGTTAAGCACTTTACCAACTGAGCTCTATTCCCAGCCCACATACATATAATGTTTGGAAAGAAGCCAGACAATAATAGGGTGCCTTCTAGCTGGATGTGGCTGAGGCAGGAGGATCACAAGTTCAAAGCCAGCCTCAGCAACTTATCGAGGCCCTAAGCAACTTAGCAAAACCCTGTCTCAAAAAGGGCTAGGGATGAGGCTCAGTAGTTGAGTGCCCCTGGATTCAATCCCTGGTAACCGCCCCACCAAAAAAGAAAAAAGAAAAAGGGTGCTTCCACTATGTACCTTGTAGTTCAGAACAAGCCCACGTCAGTGGCTACAAGAGTCAAGGTTGCCTTTGTAGGTGGGGATGGGGTAAGGTATTGGGGGGGGGCACACCCCAGGCCTGTTACTAGATCCACACGTTGATTAAACAGGTGGACCTTCTTCAAGACTCTGCAACTTCCTGTAGAAGTGCACACCTGTAATCCCAGCTCTTTGGGAGCTGAGGCAAGAGAACCACAAGTTTGAGGCCAGTAAGGGTGACTTAGTGAGACCTTGTCTCAAAATAAACAAATAAAATGGGTTGGGGGTATAGCTCAGTGGTAGACTGTCCTGGGTTCAATTCCCACTACTGAGAAAGAGAAAGTATGCAACTTTATATATTGGCATCACAAGATTAAAAACTTGACTTAATATCATTACATTGTGTGAATGTACAAATATGTAACAACAAATCCCACCACCACATACAACTATAATGCAGCAATAAAAAGATATACGAGACAGCTGGGTGCGGTGGCACACCCTGGAAACCTGGGAAGGCTGAGGCAGGAGGACTGTGAGTTCAAAGCCAGTCTCAGCAACGGTGAGGTGCTAAGCAACTCAGTGAGACACTGTCTCTAAATAAAATACAAAATAGGGCTGGATCCCTGGTACACTCCCCCCATGCCCCCCAAAACCCAAAAAACAACAACCTTGAAATGTCTTTAATCCTGGCTCCATGGGGTGCTTCTGGGAAGGAGTTGGGAAATGAGTAATTAAATATGATTACAGAGATTGATGCTGGAGAAGAAAACAGGATGAGGTTTATCAACAACTGCAGGGTGGGAGGAGGCGCCTTCTTAGATGTGAAGGCTGAGAAGGGGTCTCCCAGGTGAGGAGGGTGGGCAGCAGCTGGAAGATCTGAGGGACAGTGGGAGTGAGAGGCCAAGCCAGGCTCTGGATGATACAGGGATGGGGGTGGATTTTAAAAGCACTGGGAACCGTTGAAGGTTTTATTATGCATGAGTGTGTGTGCACGTGCATTTGGACACAGTGTAGGAAAGGCAGAAGCAGACCAGTTAGGAGACTGCCACACCTGCCCAGGTGAGGGGGCTAGTTTGGATACAGCAGTGGGTGGGGCAAGGTACATACAGGTCAAATAGCATGCTTCTGGTTCCATCCCACTTCCTTCCCTGCCTCAAAATTCAGTCTGAGGGAGGGCCACCGTCATGAATGGCATAGGGGTCCAGAGTGATTGATTCTTAGGTATCTTTGCCCTGTCTGCAGAAGCCTGGAAACTGCCAAAATGACATTGAATGTGCCAGTTTGGCAGCAGCCTTGGGTCTCAGGTCTAGGCAGGTATACTTTTTTTTTTTTTTTTGGTGGGACTACGGGTGCTCTACCACTGAGCAACATCCCCAGGGTTTATTTTGGAACAGGGTCTTGCTAAGTTGCCAAGGCAGGCCTTGAACTTGTAATTCTCCAGCTTTGGCTTCCCACATGGCTGGGGCTATAGTTGTATCCCTGCACATGGCTCATACAGGCCTCCTCAAACTGAGGGCTGTGACCCTGTTGTGCCCTGTGAAATCAAATTAGTATATTGCCACTAGTGATTAAAAAAGATCAATTGTCCATGGGTATCATCATCTTAGCTAATATATACACTTGAGTGTGTATGTGCTATTGCAGTGTAAGACCTTTCTCACTGTGGGTTGAAATTAAAAAAACAAACAAACAAAAAACTCCCAAAATTAAAGTTGCTGGGCTTCAGCATCCCAGTCTCTCTCCTCTCCAGAGGCCTCAAATATGTATTTGGGATTTTCTTCTCTCCATTGGCCTTAAGGGTACCAGCTATTTTCAGAACAAGAACATGAGCTAAGCAAGGAATTGGGGGAAAGAAACGCTCATACATTAGTGGTGGGACTGCAAATTGGTGCAACTACTCTGGAAAGCACTATGGAGATTCCTTAGAAAACTTGGAATGGAACCACCTTTGACCCAGCTATCTCACTCCTTGGTTTATACCCAAAGGACTTAAAAACAGTACTATAGTAATGCACCACATCAATGTTTATAGGATCTCAATTCACAAAAGCTAAACTGTGAAAGCAACCTAGATGCCCTTCAATAGATGAATGGATAAAGAAACTGTGGTATATATACACAATGGAATATTACTCAGCATTAAAAGAGAATAAAATTATGGCACTTGCAGGTAAATAGATGGAGTTGGAGAATATCATGCTAAGTGAAGTTAGCCAATCCCCAAAATCCAAAGGCCAAATGTTTTCTCTGATAAGTGAATGCTGATCCATAATGGGGGGTGAGGGGCATGGGAAGAATGGAGAAACTTTGTATAGGGCAAAGGGGAGTGTGGGGAGTGGAGAGGTTATGGGGAGAGGAAAGATGGTGGAATGAGATGCACATCATTACTCTAGGCACATGTATTACTGCACGAATGAAGTGACTCTATATCATGTACAACCAGAGAAATAAAAAATTGTGTGCCATCTGTGTACAATGAATCGAAATACATTCTACTGTCATGTATAACTAATTAGAACAGGAAAAAAAGTGAGCTAAAATGTGTGTAAGGCTTCACAACACTTGCACTGATGATCTCTTATCTTCATCAGTCTTGTATGAATAAGAGCAAAGAGACTGACTTCTAGGGACCATGTGATCTTGGGCAAGCAGCTCAAACTCCAGGTTTCAACTCCTTGCCATTGAAGCTGGTCATAGGATTGAGACGGTGTGCAAAAGGTTTTAGATAAAAGCAACTGTCAGCTCCCCTGAAGGAGGAGGAAGACAAGTGACCAAGGAGCCCTGTGCCCTCATGGGAGGAAGCCAGGACTGTCCAACTCCATCCAAACATCCTGAACAGGGCCACCATCACCCAGAAGAGCGCACACATTCAGTACACAGACCAGCAGATCTAATGCTTTCCACACACTTTCTCACTCAGTCTTCCCAACTCTCCTGAAAGGCCAGTACTGTTGTACCTGCTCTAGGTCACAGCTCCCAGCAGTGAAGACGGGGTGTGGCTCTACAGCTTGGATTCTTTTCCCTGAATCTTTCTCACCTCTTGGCCCCATCCTCGATGGTCTCTCCTTCTTGTACTTTGCCCCCGAAGCCATTCCAACGGCCAGCCCCAAAGCCCCGCTTCTTCATGCCCAGAAGAACGCGCTGCGGCTGCAGTACCAGCACCAAGGTATAGAGCCTGGAGGCCACCATGGTCCACTGGGGCTCTGTGAGGAAGGCAAGAAACAGGAGTCAGCTCTCACTCGGGTGTGGACAAGGCATGTGTGCTACAGTGGTCAGATGCAAAGGAAATGTCCTTTAGGAGGCAGGAATAAGAAGTGTGGCAGCAGGTCCAAACCTGTCTTTAAATGAATGATTTTCTGGATAGAAAGAGAACTGGCCCTCAGAACCCAGTGATATCAGTGCCAGGCCCTGTGCTTACCAGGGCTGGTCAGAGGAAGGTCACATATTCCCTTCCCTGCTTGGCACTCTTAGCTAGAGGAAAACAAATTTCAAGGGCTGAGTCCTTACTCCTGGGTCTACTCCAGGAACCCCAAGCTATAGGCACAGGAGGCCAGATCAACCTCCAATACCATGCCATTTATTCAGGGGCTCTCATGCCAGGCTTTAGCCTTGGCCTTTTCATCAGCAGGGGCTCCTTCTAGATTGCTGGGACCTGGCTTCAGTCTCTCTGCAGCAGCAGGCCTCTGGAAAGGAGTGGCCTGGCTGGTCTTCCTTCCTGTGACAGGAGTTTATGTCCTACTTACTCTGCTTTTAGTGTTGTTGTGGTGAGATCTGGCATCCAGAGGACACTGGGAGATACAAGTGCCTTTCCTATTCCAATAGGAGTTTTTGGTTTCAGGGAAACACCTGTTGTTTCTGAGAGGGCCTCTGTGGGAGAAAGGACCCTGGAGAAATTCAGAAGGACTGGGACTAAGTTTCCTTCGGCTCTGTCCCTATTCTGGTCTAGGAACACCTGGCCAGAGCTGGATTCAGAACCAGCTTGGAAGTCATAGTATCTGAATAAAGGGACTAGGGGCTGTTCATGGGTGGGGCCAGTCAAGCAAGGGAAGTGGGCTTGTGGCCAGGCTTCCCAGGAGGCCAGTATCCTTCATTCTGTCATGGACCTATGCATGAACGAAGGCCTGGCTTCTAAAGCAACTCTGATAATGATAAGCGATGGCAATTCCAGCTATCACTTATTAAGCAATGACTATGTACATCTGTATTTCTGTATCTGTTGGGGATTAGCTCTAGGGACCCTTCAGATAACAAAATCCAAGTATTCTCACACTCCATATGTAAAACAGTATATTTGCTAGCTAGGCCTGGTGGTGCATGCTTGTAATCCCAGGGGTTCAGGAGGCTGAGCCAGGAGGATTGAGAGTTCAAAGCCAGCCTCAGCAAATTGAGATGCTAAGAAAGTCAGTGAGACCCTGTCTCTAAATAAAATACAAAATAGGGCTGGGGATGTGGCTCAGTTGTCAAGTGCCTGAGTTCAATCCCCAGTAATCCCCTCAAAAAGAACAAAAAAACCCAGTATATTTGCATGTAACTATGCACATCCTCCTGCATACTTTATGTCATCTCTGGATGATTTACAATTCCTAGTACAATGTAAATGGTATGTTGTTATACAGTATTCTTTGGAAATTATGGACAAGATAAATCTGTATATATTCAGAAGGGATGCAATTATGTTTTCTGAATATTTTTTTGTCCACTGGTTGAATCATCTGATGCTGAACCCAAGGCTACAGAGATCTGATTATAGTTATTTTCAAAAGCTAAACCTCTTAAAAGACCCAATAACTCTATTAAGATTTGAATTCTGCATTTTCAGAAGTGGAAACAAGCTCAGTAAAGCTAAGTTTGATCCAAAGTCAAATAGCAGAGCCATTAACCATCTAGTGTGTCCACAGCTCCCTAGCAGTAAATCTGAGGAGTCATCAGCGGCTCCCTAATGCCAGAGGCACTCCACAGGTGGAGCTGGAGGTCACCTGTAAATCAGTTTGTTATCATCAGGGCTACAGGGAGATGCACGTGGGGCGCAGGGCTCAGTCTTGCATGAAGTAGGTTTGGCAAATGCTGGTTCCCCAGCCTTCCTTTTCAGAGGCTGTGCGGAGTATTGGATCCCGGACACCGGGTCCTCTCCGCAGCCCATACCTACTGGACCCCTGGGCCCAGTTCACCCCCCATTTCCCTCCTCTAGCACCCCTGTGTTCTGTCTGGTTCTCCCCTAGTCCCCGCTATGGTGGCCTCGCCCATCTCTCCGACTCCCGTTCTTCTCATCTTCCCCATTCCTCGTTTCCCGGTGCTCCCAGCTGCCGCCTCCCCACGTTTCTCCTGCTCCCATTCCTTGTAAGCCAATCCTACCTGCGCGCCGTTCCCGGACCGAAAAGGCGGGGCCTGGACCGGAAGTGGGATAGTGATTTCCGGTAGTGAGCGGAAGTGGCAGGCTGACTCCCATGGCAGGGTGAGTGGGGAAGAGTGTTCAGCCTTTGCTTATGGGCGCTTGTTGCATGCGTGCAGGGATGCGGGAGAGGTGGGAGCCCTCAGTTTCTTCATCCGAAAAGGGGAGCTGGCCCACCCCCGGCCCGGCACTCGGGTCGCCAGGCCGAGCGATGGACCCCAGCCTGGGGCTCCGCAGACTTGAACTCCAGCGCGCGGACTAGAGTACCCGACCTGGGAAGAGGCAGGTAGAGGCTGGAGAGGCAGGTGAAACCACTGCAGCCTCTGAAGACGTGGCACAGAGCTTCCAAAAAGCAAGGGGGCCTGTGTAGCAAGAGTCTAGCGCATGGGATGGGGTTGGAGAGGTCAGATCCCCAAATCAGGTTGACTCTGGGGTTTGTGGGGGAAACCACACTTCGTTGGCCCGTGAGACACCACTATCCATCTCTCCCCTGTGCTGAAATTATTTCTGGCACCTTGGATGTGTGTGCCATTTTTCCACGAGATCCCCTAAGCCATTTGAAGCTAGGATTCTTTATTCCCTAGTCCTGTCCTCAAATCTTGTCAGCACACCTTGGTGTTGAAGGAGCTCTGGCCTCAGAGCTGTGAGAATAATAAAATCTCTTTTTCCATCAGAGAAATGAATAGAAAAGTAAAAAGAAATGGAAGTAATGAATAGTAAGAATGTTTTGAGAGTTAAGCAAGGGGGAGTTATATATAGCTCCTGTTATGCCAAGCTACTTTTTATGTGTTAAAAGCATAACTTTTTGGGGTCGGGGTTGTGGCTCAGTGGTAGTGCACTTGCCTAGCATGCATGAGGCAGTGGGTTCAATTCCTGGTACCACGTAAAAATAAAAACAAATAAAATAAAGGTATTGTCCATCTACAACTAAAAAATATTTAAAAATAGTAAAAAAGTGTAAGTTGTTGAAAGAACCTTGGAATTTATCCTTCAGTCATCCACAAAGGTTGGGTTCAGTCTTAAGAAATATGCAGGCCTGACTTGTGCTAGAGGTGACAGGCAGGGACCTGTCCTCATGGGGTTTTCTTGCAGTTTTTTGCAGAGCACTGTGGAAATTTGGGCCAGACAAGAAAATAATAATTTTCATTATTATTATCAATATTGTTAACCAGTACTGGAAAAGTTTCGGTTGTCAGAAAGGAGGTGATTATCATTGTGTTTATTTTTCTTCTGAGAAAATCTTTGGGGGAGAACACTAACTGCCTGGGTACGATGATGCACGCTTGTAATCCCAGCAGTTTGGGAAGCTGAGGCAGGAGGATTGCAAGTTCAGAGCCAGCTTCCTCAACATAGTGAGGCGCTAAGCAACTTGATGATAACCCTGAATCAAATTAACAAAAATAATTAAAAAAAAGATCAGGGCTGGGGATATGTCTCAGTGGTTAAGCAACTCTGGGTTCAATCCCTGCTGTGAATAAAAAGAACAAAACACTTCCCCAGGAAAGTTTGCTCAGCTGTTGTAATTTAGTATGCAGACCAGGTGGCTTAAGCACAGCCACTTATTTATAACATTCTGGAGGCTGGAAGCCTGAGATCAAGGTGTGGGAAGGAAGATTTCTCTTGAGGCCGCCTCCTTGGCTTACAGATGTGGTTCTCTCTTTGTGCATGTCTGTATCCTAATCTCATAAAGACACTAGTCAGATAGGATTAGGATCCACCCCAGTAATCTCACGGTACCTTAATTATTTTCTTACAAATCTCATCTCCAACTATAGTCATGTTCTGAGGTCCTGAGAAACATGGGTTTGGAGAAATGCAGTTCAGCTGATGACACCTCTTTGGCTGTGTGGGCTTGTCAAGTCACCTCTCCTCTTGGGCCTTAGTGCGTCCACTCTGAAAAGTAGTGAATTGAGCCAGGACCCCCCTCTGCACCCGTGACCTGCTGATCCATCTGATGCCATCCTTCTTCCTCCTTTTTCTCCAACTAGGTACTTGAAGCTGGCGTGTGCTTCCCTCCAGCGTCAGGGCTTCCACACTGCAGGGTGTTACTACAAGGGCCGGACAGGTGCTGAGCACCTATGGCTGAGTCGGCATTTAAAGGACCCATTTGTGAAGGCTGCGAAGGTGGAGAGTTACCGCTGTCGAAGTGCCTTCAAGCTTCTGGAGATGAATGAGAGGCATCGGATTCTGTGGCCTGGCCTCCGTGTGTTGGACTGTGGGGCAGCTCCTGGAGCCTGGAGTCAGGTGGCAGTGCACAGCGTCAATGCCACAGGCAGAGGTGGGACCCCCCACACTCCTGGTAGCACCTTCTGATCACAAGTCTGAGGGAACAAAAGTGAGTTGTTTCCTGCCATGGACACAGCAGTTGAACTATTTCCTGAAGGCACATACTTACGAGTGGATTGATTAGTAGTGGTAATTGTAAAATCAGAATACTGACCTTTTCAAAGTGAAAGACAAAGTGGAAAGGTATAATGAAAATCACCACAAATTATATCAGCTGGGTGTACAACATATTGGTGTACACCCTTCTGGAGTTTGTTTTTGTATACATGCAGCCTGAGGGTTTCATGGAGGTGGGGGACCCTCTAGGGCCTCAAGAAAGGCTTCGTGGCCAAGGCTCTGGATTCTCCACTCTGGGTCAGCCTGAGGACTCAGCGTTTTTCTTTTAAATTTTAGGGTTTTTGACAAAGATTTCTTTGACAGTTTCTATATTAGGAAAGAGATAAAACAGTCACCCATACAACTTTAAAATGTAATGTTGGGACCTCCTAATAACTGATTTTAGTGATTTCTATTCCCCTGATGGCTTTCCAGAAGGATGAAAATGGCTCAGTTTAACTTGTAGGAAGAAGTGACAGGGCAAAGAATGCAAGGGTGACATGAGCTTTCCTTCTCATTGTTGCAAAGTTGCAACCAAAGCTGTTTACTTTCTGTGGAAACTTCCTAAGTCTATAACACATGTGCATGATAAAGGAAAGAAAGGTCAAGAATGTCAGCTGAGATGTGAGGTGTCCCACTTTCCTGGGCTGAAAATAGGGTTTTCACTTTTAAAAAGTGAGGTAGTCTTCAAAATTCTAATTTTATCTAGAAATAAAATGCATATCCTCCCTGTTCTGAGTTTTATTAAGCAGAGTAAACTTGAAAATCTGTGATTATACCCTTAATTTATCAACACTTAGCAACAGAGCTGAGATCTTTTGCAGTGCCACAGGGATGAGGTACGGGCATGTGGGGGGGGGGGGTCTTTGTATATGGGGACAGCATGGGAGGAGGAGGTGGAGGCTGAGAACAGGAGTAGGCAGGAAGTCTTGTTTCAGGTTAGGTGAGGCTGCTATCTTTTTTGTTTTATAAAACTGTCGCGACCCCTTGCCCGCAAGGAAGACGCAACTCGGGAATCTTCTTTCAGCGGTTTATTCAGGCCCTTGATATTTCTTCTACTGATCCCTCGGATGCCCCTCCCAGCCTTAATATAGCATCTCAAGCCCCAATGCGAAGCTGCCACGTGGAACTTTCTCATAGGGTGCTGAAAAGCCATGCGCCAACTCTCCCAAATAAGGAGTTGTTTGTCACAAACCACAGCGGAGCCAGCACCATCTTGTAATGGCGACCATAATCTGCATAAGCGGCAGAGGCTGCTCACCACATAAAACCTCTTTTTTTGTTTTACAAGTAGTATTCCTCAAATATGGACAATGTGTCAATTTTTGTGTCTCATTTTGTATCTGTTCATTTTTCCCAACTCTAGCTTGTTTCCAGTGGTTTCTTTCTTTCTTTTTTTTTTTTTTAAAGAGAGTGAGAGAAGGGAGAGAGAGAGAGAGAATTTTTAATATTTATTTTTTAGTTCTCGGCGGACACAACATCTTTGTTGGTATGTGGTGCTGAGGATGGAACCCGGGCCGCACGCATGCCAGGCGAGCACGCTATCGCTTGAGCCACATCCCCAGCCCCTCCAGTGGTTTCTACATTGAAAGCAAATGGCTTAAGTTGTAGAATGGATTTATTGATTTTAATCCAGAGGCACTTTATGTACTGGTGTATCAGAATCTTTTATCAAAAAGACCACCAAGGAAGTCAGGCACAGTGGTGCACATCTGTAATCCTAGAGGCTCAGGAAGCTGAGATGGGAGGATCACAAGTTGAAGGTCACTGTCAGCAATTTAGAGAGGCCCTAAGGAAATTATTGAGACCCTGTCTCAAAATAAAAAATCAGAAAGAAAGGGCTGAGATGTAGCTCACTGGTAAAGTGCCCCTGGCTTAAGTCCTCAGTACCAAAACAAAACAAAACAAAACCCCACCACTAAGGAGAATCCTTTCACAGAGAGTGAATTTGAGGTAACATGCCAAAAGCAGGAAGAGAAGTCCTGGCTGTGGCCCCAGCTGTGCCTGTGACTAAGGATGACTGGCCTCAACTTCCTCAGCTGCCAAGTGAAGGACTGCCCACTGCCCTCTGCCCTCTGTGTGTCTCCATAGGCTGTTTGAATAATGGGAGGGCTCCTGTCCACATATGCACATCTGTTCTTTTCCTTGGTCCTAGTGTCTTTATTTTGTGTTTCTGTGGATAGATTTAGGATGTAAATAACATATCTGCTGTTCCTTCCGTAGATTCCAGCTCTCCTGTTGGCTTTGTGCTTGGAGTGGATCTTCTTCACATAACTCCCCTGGAAGGAGCAACTTTTCTGTGCTCTGCTGATGTGACTGATCCGAAAACCTTGCAGAGGATCCTAGAACTGCTTCCTGGGGGGAGGGCAGATGTGATTCTGAGTGACATGGCACCCAATGCCACTGGGATCCAGGGGCTTGATCATGACAGGCTTATTGGCCTGTGCCTGTCACTTCTGGACATGGCTTCAGTTGTCCTGCACCCAGGGGGAACATTGCTTTGTAAGACCTGGGCTGGAAGTCTAAGCCAGCGATTTCAGAAGAGATTGACAGAGGAATTCCAGAACACAAGAACTGTGAAACCCACGGCCAGCAGGAAAGAATCATCAGAGGTGTACCTCTTGGCCACACAGTACCGTAGAAGGAAGGGCTCTGTGAAGCCATGAGAGGTCCTGCCATTCTTAAATGGATGCTGGGTCTTTTTAAACTGTGGATGTGGCCTGAGTGCTTTCCTGAGGAGTGGCTGGGAACTTTGCTGTGACCATGAAGGTCTTTGATTCAAACCAAACAGAGATGACATATTATATTTAAGGGCCATGAAAAATGATTAAAACCAGGCTTCTATATCATGATTTTTGCAGAGAAAGTTATCAGGAGAAAGATGTAGAGACTGAAGGATGTAAAGAGATGGGAGGATAAAAATGACTTGCTGAGACAGAGCAAGTAGAACTTTCTCACCTTATAGACTCTTAGCCTAGTACAAAGAAACAGGTGTTCCTTTACTGCTTTCTGAACACAATAAATACATTGTTTTCCAGTTGTTATTTTGGCTATATAGTATAAAGTAGAAAAACTGAAATTTCCATCTGGGGATTAATTTTCATCTTTCTGGTGAATAATCTGGAAATACATTCTATCTTAAAACAGTGAGAACTCCCAGAGCAATTAGGAGAGACATTTGGTATGGATTTATGCACGGAGTGGGTGTGCTTTGGTTTGTGCTGGAAGTATGTATTGCTGTGGTGTAGCAGGCTCTCAAGACTATAAATTGCAAAGCCAGCAATGATGTGACGCTTTCATTTAGCCTTATTTTTCTAGGAACTCCATGCAGCTTTTTTTTTTTTTTAATGTTTATTTTGTAGTTTTAGGTGAACATAATATATTTTTTTTTGAACACAATATTTTTATGTGGTGCTGAGGATCAAACCCTCACTAAGCCACACCCCAGCCCTCCATGTAGCTTTATGAGAGAATATAGATTGCATTATTTTAAGGAATTTCCATGACTTACGTTTTGCTTTTGTTTTTCAAAACTCGACTGATTTCTTTCAAGCCATTTCGCAAAGGGGAGGGTCCCTGAGGATGTGTCTATAGACTAACATTAATGTAATGCCAAAGGCCTGTGGAAAGACTGGGTGCCCTGGAGCGAATGAGTGCTAGGTCTTCTTCCAGCCTCCTGAAGGGGGCTGCTGATCAAGTATTTTCACTCTCCATTTTATTTTTAGTTGTGGTCAGGTAAAATCCCTAGAAACTCCCGCATACTCCCCCACTGCATTTCCCTCCTATCCATTTCCTTCCCGGACACACAGACTGGATCATCTGTCCTCTGGGGGAAGGAAACATAAGTGCAGACTGTTGGAGCAGCACCTTCCAAACAGGGGCTGGAGGGAGGAAAGGAGAATTCAGAAACACATTTTTTTTTGTTTTTTAAAAGAGTGAGAGAATTTTGATATTTATTTTATAGTTATAAAATAACTATAAAATATATTTATTTTATAGTTATCGGCAGACACAACATCTTTGTTTTGCATGTGGTGCTGAGGATCGAACCCGGGCCACACGCATGCCAGGCGAGCGCACTACCGCTTGAGCCACATCCCCAGCCCCTCAGAAGCACATCTTCATAGGTGGAAATGTCACCATACTCCATCGGATTTTCCCTGCTTTGAAAGTCACCCCAGCTGTCTGTACCGGCTCAGACCGGTGCTGTGCACTCTGATGGGGAGGACAGAGCTCTGGGGAGCAGCATAAATACTATGTATTGCCAGTGGTCCCGGAGAAGAAGAAGAAAACGTATTTTAATTAAACCAAACTGTACAAGCAAGATTTGGGGAAGAGTCAAGAATGCAAATAAGTTTGTCCCTAAGAAGCCACTGTGGGCGCTACTATTCAGAACATTACGGCGCGAGGCGGTGGCCGTAGTGCAAGCGTGTTCGGTGGGGTGGCCGGGCGGCCCGAAGGTGCGGTGTTCCAGATCTGCTTCCGAGTCCCATTCTGCTCTGGCTTCTCGGGTTGGGCGGCTCCAGGTGGGGACACGGAGCCCCAGGGGGTGAGGCGCGCAGACTCGGTTCTTTACGGCGGGCCTCCAGTCGGTCTCGCGAGAGCGCCGGCTCATATCTCGCGATAAGTGGGCGCGGGCGGAGCGGAGGGAGATCCGAGCAGCGGCGGCAAGCGCGAGCAGGCGACTGAGGTGAGCGGTGGAGGGCTAGGCGCGG